TACCCCAGGGGAAATTTGGCAAATGGATGTTACTCACTTTGCCCCTTTTGGCAAACTTAAATATATACATGTTTCTCTTGATACCTTCAGCGGTTTCCTCTGTGCCTCACTCCAATCTGGTGAAGCTACCAAAAATGTTATTAATCATGTGATCTCTTGCCTTGCCTTTATGCCCATACCTAAGATGCTTAAGACTGATAATGGCCCTGGATATATCAGCACCTCCTTTAAACAGTTTTGTGCCCAGATTAACAATAAACATGTCATGGGCATCCCATATAACCCACAGGGACAGGGCATTGTAGAAAGGGTACATCATACTTTAAAGAATATGCTCTTAAAATTACAACACTCAGGGGGTATTTTATACCCCAAAAATGGGAATCGTAAAACCTTACTAAATCATGCATTATTTGTTCTCAATTTCTTGACCCTTGATGAGAGAGGAATGTCTGCAGCAGATAGATTTTGGTACCCTACTACAGCAGACTACTATGCCAAAGCCTTGTAGAAAGATCCATTGACACACAAATGGAATGGTCCCGACCCAGTCCTTATCTGGGGAAAAGGACACGCATGCATATATGATTCCAAAGAACAAAACGCCAGATGGTGGCCAGAAAGACTTGTGAAATTGGCTAAATCCACCCCAGGGACACTCCCTGAGAATGGTTCTTAATTGTGCTTCCCTTCAGAAAAATGCATCCAGTTGCCTTGCTCCTCCTACTCACGTTCCAGATCTATCTGACTGTGAGTATTAAGCTCCAACACCCCTCATATCAGATTTATAATTTTACTTGGGTTGTAATAAATCAGGCAGGACATATTGTTAATTCCAGCTCTTCACTTGGAACCCAGCCTTCATGGCCCTCTCTAGAGATGGACCTTTGTGCCCTTGCCCTGGGAGCAAATGCCAATTGGAGAACCTCCTCTCATTTTTGGCCCCAGGATAAGCCTGTAGATGTGCCAAACCCCAATTATGATGGCCATGTCACTGGCTGTAATTCTTATATCAAAAGAACCTCTTTGGCCAACGATCTGTCTGGCCTTTATGTATGCCCTGGCCCTACACACAGAGATTGTTCCCAAAGCTACAAGTGCGGCCATTCTCCTGAGTTTTTTTTGTGCATCGTGGGGCTGTGAGACCACGGAAGATGCATATTGGCGGCCCTACTCCTCCTGGGATTATATTACCCTACGGAGAAAATTCCTTCCTAAATACTTACAGGAGAAATTAGGTGTGTCCACGGATGACCCTCTAAGATCCCAATGTCAAAGTAATTGGTGTTCCCCCCTCCTCATTTCCTTTACTGAGAGAGGGAAGAATAAAGATTGGATGGCCAGAGGATTCATATGGGGCTTGTGTCTGAGAGAGTGCACTACTTGGTCATATGGCTGATCAGACCCAGGGCTCACCTTTACAATAAAACTTCTTAAGACCATCCTCAACAAAAATATTGCTGCCATGGGCCTCAATCCTGTTCTACAACACCCCTCAAAGCCCCTCAATCCAGCCCCTAAACCTGTGGTTGCCGCCCCTGGCACCTTGCCCTCATCCTTTCCCTTGGCGCCTTTAGCCACCATGTTTCAGCCCACTGTTCCCAAAGGCCCTCTTAGTTCTGCTGACCTTATTATTTCCTTGGTAAATGCTTCTCTTGAGGCTATCCATAATACCAGCGATCCTAATTATCAACAATGATGGATTTGTTTTTCACCTACTCCTCCCTTCTATGAGGGGATAGCTATTCTCTCCCCTCCCACTTTTACCAATGATGGTAACAGACTCCTTGGGACTCATTTGCCTGAAGGAGGTCTTACCCTTAGCTCCATTTCAGGAATAGGCCTTTGCCTTTTGGGACCCTTCATGCTCCCCCCTAGGGACTTGATTCCGGTGTGTAACCAGACAATGATCCTCAATGATACCTTTCTATATACCCTGGCACCCAATGGTACATATTTTGCCTGTACTTCTGGCTTGGACCCCTTATATATTTAATCTCAGTTTTTTACATTTTAGAGATTATTGTGTAATTGCTACCATTCTCCCACATTTCTTTATACATGATCCAGAGTCCTTCCTCAATACTATAGATCAAGGATCTTCTTTAAGAACCAAGAGAGAACCCCTGACTGCACTCACCTTGTCTGTTATACTAGGAATTAGTGCCATTGGTGCAGGCACGTGTATAGCTTCCTGGGTGACTTCCAATAATCATTATGCTCATCTCCAATCCCTCATTGATAAAGATTTAAATAATTTGAGAGAAGGAGTACAAGATCTTAAGGACTCTGTGGCTTCCCTTTCTGAGGTGGTGTTACAAAACAGGAGAGGACTTGACCTTGTCTTCCTTAAGGAAGGGGGTCTCTGCATGGCCCTCAGAGAAGAGTGTTGCTTTTACTCCGATAAGACAGGCCTTGTCCAAAATAGCCTGGACAAAGTCAAAAGGAGTTTAGAAGAAAGAAAGAGAGCGAGAGAACAAGAGTCATGGTATCAAAACTGGTTCTCTACCTCTCCTTGGCTCACCACCCTGTTGCCTAGTATACTAGGACCCCTTGTTGGCATTCTTTTGCTTCTCTCATTTGGCCCCTGGGCCTTTAACCGTCTCACAAGTTTTGTTAAGAACCAGATTGATTCTGCCATCAAAAAGCCGGTCGAAGTTCATTACCATCAGCTGAAAATTGAAGAAGATCCAGAAGTGATTCTGCCGGAGACTGACACAGCTGTCAGCCCTCCTCCCCACCCCCTCCACAGTCAACTCCTAGACTTCCACACCCTTGAGAAGGGTTCATGGTATGCCTGGCTCTGCCCTCGTTTCTCTCGCTAGGGAGCCTGGCCTCTTGATCACCCCAACAAAAATTGGCTTTTTCCTAAACCAAGGCTGCCCTTGATGTGGCCCACTAACATTGGGGAGCCTTCCTTTATGACAATATTACAGAACAAACTGACAAATGGCTGGTAACCTGAACATTCACAAAGGGACTAGGATAGCTATGAGTTAGCCCAATGACGAGATTATTGTAGGTCCACTTCCCAGGGGCCCACTCAATTCAGCTGGAAAGGAGTGCGTGGTGCTGGGAGTGGGTGCAGCCTACATGGCCTAAGACAGGGCCCTCACCCTCCTTTCACCCACCTCGGGGTCCCTTGACGTTGCCCATCGTCAACAGCCTAAAGCCTTCGACCATCGACATGACGCGTATCACATCAATGTTTTGGGGTTGTGAACTTGTCCAAGACCCCCCATAATTAGACTTCCAAATTCTAAATTTCACATAGTTGGGATTGATCACAAGATGCCTTCTCTATCTAAAGAGAGAAGTGGGAGATGCCAGAAGCCAGGACCCTCTCCCTTACCCTCACCCCCTTCCTTTCCCCACCTGCACAATGTCCTCTGCAGCTTGGCAACCGCAAGATCCTGTTTGGCAGCTGCAGATAGATTCAAGGCAGTGTACCATATCTTCTGAGAGAAGCAGGTAGACCATAGTTCAAGGCAGTGTACCGTGTAGACCATGAAATGTTTCAAGGCACAGGCCAAGAAGATTCTGTACTTTTCCACCACCTGGCCCCTCTTACCCCCTCCCCTTGTAAAATATACTATAAAAAGGCGCTTTGTGCTCAAATAGATGGCACTTGACAAGCAATTGCTTCCTTGAGTCTGTTCTTCTCTCTCACCTGTTCTTTTTAAGGTTGTGGTCCTCCTTGCCCCCACGAATAACTAGGACCCGCAAGTTGGGTCACTATACAATCTTTTGGCTTCCAATATCTCGGAAAGTTCTCAGAGTTTCTTGGCTTTTTGGTACAGCCTAATCACTGAAACCTTGCCAATGTATGCTCAGGTACCAGGGCTCTCTGATTTTTCAGCTCTCATTTTCACCATGGCAAGTCCAGTGTCCCATGGAACATCAACAATAGAATTGGTGGCTCTGGCCTATCTTGGACATAACCAAAAATGACCAGGTAGGGTCCTCTATGCCATGCTTGTTGTTGATGAGAAGAAAATGTTGGATCTCATCAGCACCCTGCCCTCAGAACTCCAGGCCCTTATTTTTCTTTACTACAAGTTAGATTTTAAGCCTAAGATGGAGAATGCTGGTTTATAACTTGTCGGATGAGGTATATTCATTCATATATCTTACAGCAACATGTCTGCTTTTTTGCTATCATGCTCCCCAATACGATAATAATTAACTTTAGAATGGGGTTACTTCCAAATTTGAGTAGACAGTAAATGACTACAATAAAAAAGAGAAAAAGCAGATGTTCAAAAGAATTAGAGTATACTTTTAAAACTTCTACACCCTATCATTTCAAAAGCTTAACAATTTAATGACACATCTAAATAGTATAACATGTCTTTAAAAAGTATTTCAGAAATGAAAACTAAATAGTTAAATGTCAGCTGTGCTCTCATTAGTTTGAGAAGAAAATGAGGAAAATACCTATATATTCTGTATCATCTAATTTTCTTAGCAAGGTACATGCCTAGGGCCCATCTTACCTTCCTGTAGAAGGGAATATGGCGATGTTAAGACAAGAGTAAAAGAACACTAGACCAAATAACCACAATAGAGCAAACTTTTTTATTGTAGACAACAGAATATATCCAGCCCAGCAGGACCTCCCCAATGTAGGTTTCAGTGATTGGCCCTGGATATGGTGAAGGTATACATATATATCCCATAAGTAGGGTGGTCTCAGAACATAAGTGAAACACTTTGGTCATAAGAACCGCATTATAAAAACAGAATGGCTCCCATTTCCTGGAACAGGGTGTATATAATCATTTACAGGTGAGACGTAGCCCAGTTCTTGAGAAATGGTGATTTAATCACAAATAGGACAGAATGTGATTTTTCTTTACGATATGATAGCTTTAAACCAAAGACAGCAACTGACTGGCTTATTACCAATGAAGTTTATGATTAATAATGCTATGGAGACCATTGTAGTAGAATTTGCTGTGCGGCAGGAGGATCATCAAAGCCACACTTGGCTACACACTTCTGCCCCTAGATGCATTGTAGGTGTGGCTGCTATATCACATGTGCATCAGTAGGTGTCAGAGAGGAGAGAGGTTAGGTCTATGAAGTATTCTTACCTGTGAACAAGCAAATTATTAGTGACCCTACATTTCCTGAAAAACTAAGTCAGCCTGAGATGACCACCAGTCCTGTGGCAGGATGAATTGGAAGCTTCTCGTTGGGTCCTGTGATGCAGACTCACCTGGTAAGGCAGACTCATATGGTACTTTGCTGTGGTTAATTCATGTGTTCTTTTGCTAAGACAAGACCCATAGGAGGACATATTATGTTGGGAAAAAGTATAAATAGCACTCAGTGAAGAGTGATGGTGCACTTGCATACCTAATTTTGCAACACTTCATTGATCTCCTGTCTTTTTCTGTTTCTTCACTGAACTTTGCTTTATTGAGAGAAACACAGCAAAGAACTTCTCCTGGCTTCCTGGACCTAGTTGATCCTGCTCACTAGTGCTAATTTGGTGGAGGCTTGACAGTTTCCGATAGATCATGTGACCACTGCTGATTTGTGTTTGCTATTCTGACACTATGGAACCAGAATAGTATCCTGAGAAATGGAAATCGGAATCATCCCCCAAAATTCTTTTAAACAGATCCACATCCCCTTGTGTTCTTTACCATCTTTTCTCCCATACCTTTCGGTGGTGACATAAAAGTTGTGGGGCTGGAAAGGGATGGTTTGGTCTCCCCCGTAGAGCACTGGGTTTGAGACAGCCAGAGACCCAACAGGGACATGGCCTGTCAGGGACAGCACTTATCTCCCCATGCTCCCAGATTCCAGACTCTTCCCACATGTGACCTATATCTCTATTAACCTGCACCTTGCTCAGAGTAGCTACTCCCAGAGAGATTTTGCATCACCATCCAGGTAGAGGGTGTGACTACCAGATTTCCACATTCATGAATTATCTAAAGGTCAGGGGGCACAGCTAATTAATTTATTCCTTTTCCCATCCCCTCTTCCCTTTCCCCTATTTAAGTCAGCTCCCCCTGGCTTTAAGGTGGAGGGATGCACACACATCTAGACCCAACTACCACACCATGAACAATAAACTTCTTGGAAATCCATGGACTCCACGTATCTTCTGGGGCCTGCCACTGCCAAAGTTTCCTGCATCGAGAACCTTGGACTTTCTTGTATGTGGGACCCACCGCCACCTGCCCCCATGGACCTCCACCATGCAGACCTGAGGCAGGAGCCTTGCAAGTGTTTTTTCCCACAAAAAGTGGAGTTGAAGAAATTGAGAGCCCTTGTCAAAAGTAGGTTTTTGAATATCTAATCCTAAAGCAAAGTGCTTTAACAAGGACTTAGCCTGAGAAGACCACCAGTCTGGTCTTGCCCAGGCCTAGTGAAACAGACTGTGCCTAAGATGATACCTGCCCTGTACCATAATTTACAAGTGTTATATATCACCCTTGAGACCACTCCTGCAATAATCCCAGACATTCAGAGACCCCAGGGACTACTAAGAGGATCAAGGAAATGGTAGAGAAAAGCAAGAAAAAAAGAGAAACGAAATGATGTGGTTACAATGAACAGAGGCAGAACTAGAGATTTCAGAGTAGTGAGGAATAGTCTAAAATGAGTAGCTAGTGATGCCACCTGTGACAATAATGGGGTACTGACCTATGCTGCTATGAGGGACAATGTCTGGATCTGTGGGCCACGTAACAGCAGGAGTCTGTTACAATCAAAGGCCAGTTGGATGTTTCTGGTCTGGGATGCTACCAGGGCACATGTTGATGTATGAAGACTATGAAGAACTGACTCCAACTCTCACCTGGGGTTCATGAGAGAGCTCACCCTGGAGCATAAGAACAGAAGACATTACCTCACCCATAGCTAGTTGCAAAACAAAAGAGTGCCCCTCACACATTGTGATAGTTATAGATGAGGATACAAGCATCAAAAAGCTGGACCTTCTACAAGTATCCCTTGTGGTCATTGTCCCTTACCTCCTACAGTATTTGAGAGACATGGTCCTGAGAGCAGGAGCTGGACCTCCCCATTGTTACAGTAACACTTAAGGGAGCAGGCTCTGCACCTCACCTAAGCAGTACAGAGAGGCTGACCCTGATGGGGGTTATGGGGTGTTTGAGTGAACTGACGCTGAGAGTGTAAGTCTGAGAGATCTATCCCTGCAAAGAGATTGCTTTTATGCACCATAGGCAAAGGAGAGATGTGCTTCACTACCCTCATTCCTTGGTACCTATGGTAGGTATGATAACTAGCCCTGTGATCATGAGAGCAGAACTGTCCCTGTCCATCACCACTGTAGTAATTGGAAAAATTGGCCCTGAACTTCAACTGGGAGGCATAGTAGAGTTGGCCCTGGATATGAGCATTGCATGTGAGCCAGCCTGCTTTTTGTCTGCTGGGTGGTGATAGGGGTGAGGGAGAGATGTACTCATCTACTCCATTGTTTCTTACCAGCTATCACAAGCAGAAGATTGGGTCCTGTTGTCATGAGAGTAGAACTGGCCATGTCCTTCCCCAGGTGCAACACTAGAGATAGCAGTCCATAAACCTTGCCTTGGCAGCAAAGTAAAGTTAAAGCTGGCCTTGTTTGTAAGGAGGCAGGGGTTTGTTGTTGAGTTGACTTCAAGGGCATAAAAGGGAGAGAGCTAGAAGCATCAAAAGCTCATACCTCTCAGACCGTGTTTTAGGATTTTGTATTGGTCCACCTCAACATCTATCCCATTGATGAACTACTATAGCACATGAAGGTGTTTTACATATCAAAAATCAACATATCAAAATCTACAGTATCTCTGTGAAACAGATCATCACAGGATATCCAAGGGGAGCCCAGTATTGACTAGCAGAATCTAGAGACCTTGTATAAAGTCAAAACATCATTGCTATGAATGTTTGCAAGCAAATATGTGTGGGCAAAGGCTATACTATACACTATGACATAGCTCCCCCATGAATTTTTTTTCTGTTGTTGGAGAAGTGCAAGGATGGAGGATAGGTAAGAGAGAAAGAGGAATATAATAAAATTGGTGTACATTATGTGAAATTCACAGAGAACTAGAAAAAGCGTGAAAAAAAAAGAGAATTCTATGAAGGCTGAGATACTGGAAGAAGGAAATTAAAGACATGAGTTTATGAATGTAGCTTAAATTTAAAATATTGACAGATCCATAAATTGTGAAATGTCTGAGTCAATCTACTATGAAAGAAATGAATGTAGAACTTCAATAATGTATTAAAGAACTAAGTGAAAGAAGATGCTGCCTCTTGATGCTGTTGAGGTCAAGCTTAGGGATGATGTTCAGAATTTTGATACTTCACAGAGACCAACCATATATTCTAGAGTAAGAAATGCATTAAGAGAGTTAGAGCCTTTCAATGGGGTTAGACCATCCAACAGAACAAGCCGTAGCATAAGGGCAAATGTAAAGTGGGGTACTATATTAAAATAATATAATATTAAATGGATGTAACAATCATACTTTTCTGAAACATCTTTTTGCCCATTCTCTTAGTAATAAAACAGGTACAGAACATGTAAATTTTACAAAAATGTCTGTTTTTGAGAAATACTCTATACATATATTCATATAATGATTGTTAGCTATACAGATACCACACAATGGGAAAAGAAAAGACTATTCAATAAATGGTGGTGAGGAAATGCAGATTAAATCTAAAAACCAAAACAAATGTAGACTTACATCATACACCACAAAGAAAAGCAACAACAACGAAAGAATTTGGATTAAAGCTTAGTTTTATAAATACTCCTGTTATATCTATACTAAACAAAACAATGAAAAATTATCAAGGAGATAAGGTAACCTAAGATCTGAGATATAAATTTTGTAATAATGTGTTTAACAAATGTAAAAAACAAACATTTACCAAAATTGCAATGTATGTGTAGAGAAATAGAATTAAGAAGAAAGTCTAAAACTCAAAAAAGAAAAAAACATACAGCAACCAAGAAGTTGTATATACATAACTAATGAGAAAACATAAATTTACTTCTATTGCATTTGTTACAAAGATATATGTTAGGAAAGAAGCACCTTTATGTAAGAAAAGCATAGCAAAGTATAGCAGAAGTTAAAATTCAGAAATTTTAGAAGTAATTCCCAATGAAGTTATTTGCACAAATGAACACACACATAAACACACATATACACACTATTGTGAGAAATAAAATAAGTAGTTATTACACATTAGAAGACAGCAGTAGCTCTTGGCTATACACTTTTATTTAAAACAGTTGCAGATGTTCCACCTTAAAATATACATATTATTGTCCATGTACATTTTAAGAATATGTAAATACGGGGCTGGTGAGATGGCTCAGTGGTTAAGAGCACTGACTGCTCTTCCAGAGGTCATGAGTTCAAATCCCAGCAACCACATGGTGGCTTACAACCATCTGTAGTAATGATATCTGATACCCTCTTGTGGAGTGTCTGAAGACCGCTACAGTGTACTTACATATAATAAATAAAGAAAAATTAAAAAAAAAAAAAAGAATATGTAAATACATATATGTGTATAATAACAAGCAAAAAACAAACCCATGTATTTGAAAGAGAGCTGAAAGAGTTACATAATGAGTTTGTAACAAGAAAGTGATGTAATGATTTCATAATCTTGAAAAATAAAAGAAATACCGTATAGAAGTAAAGAAATAAACAAAACAAGCAAAGCAACAACAACAAATCAGGATCAAGTGGATAACAAGGGCAGAGTGAAATATTGGCTGTGTGTTGTATGGCTACTGTGACAGAGCTGGTAATACTGGCCATAGTTACTTCCTTTCTTTGATAGTTACTACATAGGTAGAATGTTAGTTACTTTTCTCATAACTGTGACAAAATACTCTACAGAAACACTTTGAGAAACCGTGATTTTCTGGGGCTCAGAGATTGAATGTATGGTAGGAATTTAGGGCAACAAAGCCTGAAGGATAGAGTAAGTTCTATCCATACAATGAATGCTGGTGCTAAGTTCAATTTCCCTTATTTCCTAATAAGCTCCTATTTAAAAAAAATAGATATTTTATTTATTTACTTTTCAAATGCTATCCCCTTTCTCTATTTCTCTTCAAGAAAACCCATATCTCATGC